TTGCTGCATCACCCTTTCCTCTTCAAGGGAAAAACCAACGCAAGCTCAAGAGGTAGCAAGGGGCAGTAGTCGAAGCCGACCCAGGCATCTGGTTTAGGATGAGGCCATGCTCTACTAGGTACCACGCCTTGACCCGCTCGTCCATTGTTGACATATCTGCCGCCATCAACGCCAGGTCGGTGTTCCTCTTCTTCATGGAAATGTTGGTCCCGAGATGGTCGAGCTTCACGTCCTGCTTCATCGTCAACACCAACCACTGCGCGTCAGATTTCTCCTCCCTCTTTGCGGCGCTGTTCTTGGCATCAGCGATGCACTGCTCGATCGATGATTGTAGCCGTTCGACAGCGGGTGCCGCGTCTCTCGCCGCCTTGTCTCTTTTGTTGCCATTAGAGCGCCCATCTGCAGCCGCCGGGGCAGGCGTGTCTGGCTTGTACGTCTCCTTGGCCTTGGCGAGGGTGAGCCGGACCTGCCTCCACTTCTCGCACGACTCGATCCTGGAGAACACGTGAAGGAACTTGAACTAGGCATCGCTGTTGTCCTAGCGATACATGTTGAACATCCGAACCATCTGCACAACCGAAGAACAAGTGTCGGCAAAGTGCACGTCGAAAAAGAACTGAGTCGGGGGCCAGGCATACCCGACCCTCGATGGTGGCGCCGCTTTCCGGGCGAGCCGTGACCTCCTCTACAATCCCATGCCATTTGTTGCAGGCCGCCTGGATGATCGCCAAATGGTTCGCCATGGCCTTGTCGCCGCGCTCCATGTGGATGTTCGCGAAGTAGGGGCCGACCAACTTGCGCTCGTCGAACACCATCTTGATCCTTCTTTGGTACGTGTCAATGTTCTGGTTCACACCGGTGATCGGGTCGATGCTGATGGTCTTCCATGCTTTGGCGAGGCACTTGTCTTCCTTCGACGTCCACTTGACGCGAGGCTCGCCCGGCCTGGCATTGGCCGCCCGTTTCTTCTTTCTCCCTTTCATTATCGGCGCCAGCTCCGCCTTTTCCTCGGCCGCCTGTTCTTCCTCCCCCCTCCTCCTCGGCATCGTCGAGCTCGTCGCCCATGTTGATGTCCATCGTGTCGTCTTGTGCGTGGAACCCGGGGCAGGAAGCGGCGGCGACCGAGCCGATCCTGATGATCTTGTCCATGTCGGCGTCGGTGGCGTCGGTGTAGCTGAACTGCGGCGCCGATCCGTGCACAAACGACAGGGTGCCCCGCCGCAGAGGCGGCGCATGCGAGGCTGAGTAGGCCGGCGATGAGTAGTTGTACTAGGTGTTGAGGCCGGCGTTAAGTGCGGGGGAGGGAGTGTGCTTGTCAGGGTTGAGGTCGGTGGGCGAGGCATGCGGTGGCGCGCCATGCGGGAAGGTGATGTTGGGGTTGAACCCGCCATGCGCGTCACCATCGGAGTAGTCGGGCGAGGGTGCATACGCCCATTGCGGTGGGGGCGGCGAGAGGTTGGCTGGCAACGCGACCCTGGCCTGGCTCCCCACATGGCTTGTGGGCAGTGACCGGGCGGTAGGTTCATCATCCCCACATGAGACACCTCTGCATGCTCTGCCGCCGCCGCCGCATCCTTGGACCTCTTGACGATGAGCCTGTTCCGTCGGTAGGCGGTGATCGCTTCCCGGCACTGAACGTCCACCCTCCACTCGGCGTTCGACGCGCCCGACGGTCTTGCCATCGACGCCCTCGGCTTCCTCTGCTTCGCCTGGGTGGAATCGGCGGCGGCGCGAGGAGCAACATATTTCTCGGCGGCATGGCGCCCGGTCTGATGAGGAGAATGGCGGGAACATCGGGGGAGAAGGGGGAAGTAATGGGGGAAAATGGAGGGAAAATGCGTGCAAAACGGCAGAAATATGCCTGGTGTCCCCGACAACGCGGCCCCACGCGACTTTTCAGTTCAGCCGGCACCCTCAGGCGGCCCCCGGGGCGCTGGGTTTGGCTCGGGATCGCCGGTTGTTATTCGGCCCAAAGCGACGAGAATCGAGAAGCCGCGGGCCCGACTGAGCCGTTTTTTGGCGCCGACACTAAAAAAGGCGCCCTGAGGGGCTGTTGGGGGCGCGACTGAGCCGTTTTTTGGCGCCGACACTAAAAAAGGCGCCCTGGGAGGCTGTTGGGGCACAAGTGGAGATGCTAGCCCCAGCCCTTTCCGTAAACAACACATACCTGATCAAACCGAGCCAAGCAAACAAAAAACCGAAACGCTCTCTCTGTCTCCCGTACGCCAACTAATCGATACGCTCTTCGTCCCATAATATTAGACGTTTTGATAAGCTAACGTAGCTGGCAAAAATGTCTTATATTGTGGGATGAAGGGAGTACTAAACTAATTAAGCATCCAACAACGTTAATCACTAGATCCAACCCCAACCAGTACTCTGTTTAATTGTTTAATAAATACAACAGTAAAATAAACGCTTAGCTCTTGGCAGGACATCGAACCAAACCAAGATTGCTCAGTATGGTTCATACTAACTATAGTATGGGTAGCACCAGGAGTTTCTGTTGGTCGGTTTGACTTCATCTGGTGCGGCAGCTGCATACCAGAAGTTTTCCCAATAGAAATACCATAGAATGATAGAAATAATCTACGCATTCATGTTGCCATACTTCGCCACTCTCCTCTGGTCGGCGCCATGAGGTGATGAAATATGAAGTAGAGACGTAGTAGGAGTCTATGCATACTTTTCTTAGAACTGTTGGGCACGGCACTGGTGGCAGCATCATCGAGCTGCTTCATGGCGCCCATGTACGCTCACCACTAGCGTTCAAACGCCGGTAGTGAGTCTGACACATGGGCCTGGTTTGTAGGCAGGTGAGTTTAGCTTATCTTCCTTTATTTGAATCAATCTATGACATGTGGGTCTTGCTGTTTAACCGAATTCCTGATTAGTAACATGTTAAACATGTAGGCGCTGATGAGCGGCCGACGGCACATGAGGGAATGGAATTTCTAAAAGCTAGGGGACCTAAACAGAAAATTTGGACGGCCTGCTTTTAGGGCCAATTCATGTTAAATACTTTTAGATAAGTTTCTTTTAACAAGGTACAGACTCAAAGGCTCATACATATACATATAAACGCACACACTCATACCCTATCCCTATGAGCATTTTCTAGAGACTGAGAAGACACATCATCTTGAGATTGATGAAGTTGCCATAGACGCCTTCGTGGTCGATAAGAAAGTCTTCTCCCATTGAACACACATCACCAAAAGGCCTGAAATAAATCTAGAAAAATGTGAACACCAATATGAAGTCTAGGACTTGAACTCTTATCGGCTGAGGATACCATAGGTTGGTTCACAACCAACCTTTCCCGCTGAATCCCCTCCTTTCGCTGTTGTCGTCGTGAGCCTACGCCACGGTGGAGGAGGGCTCCACCAAACGGTGGTGGGGATCTCCTCTCTTCATCGGCAGGGGTTGCGTCTTGTGGGCCAACTATGGTCGGGGGATGTGGAAGCCGTGCGGTGTGTGGTAGCCCTCTCCTCCCTCGTGGCGGAACTCGACGGGGCATAGACCTGACTCACGGCAACTGCAACAATGCATGAGTGGGTTTGATATGAGCCCGTCCAAGCCCGCCGCCGGCGCGGGATCAATTTGTTAGCGTGGTTTGCCAACATCAGTTTTTCTTGGCCCCAGATCCGGCGATTAGCCGGTGGCTCAAGAGGCATTTTTGCTTCCTCTAGGCTATAATTGATGGCGACGCAAAACCGATGATGACGTGAAAAGTGCAATGGTGGGGCGGGTGGTGCGTCTGCGGCTTGCAGCGGCAACACAGATGTCACGCGGCTCGTCGTCATCGTCGTCGCATTCGTTGTGGAGCACACGCAAGATGAAGATGTCAACGACCGGTGACGGTTCTTGTCCAATGGGCCAAGGTGGACCGGTAGTGAAACTATCATTTTTTAAATATTTAGAATTTTATTGTTGTGATATAAATGCTAATTGAAAATTGTAGGGTCGGCCACGGCCCATCTTGTCCACCCTCTAGCTTTGCCCTTGCCAACGACTTTCGACTGTTTGAGTTGTGCGGTAGTTCATGTTCACAAGCATGGCTTTGGTTACATGTTAGATGTCCATCAAGGACATGTGCACGGCCGGTTGTGGACGGACATACATGTCAGATAATAGCATCAATTTCAATTTCTTATCTTCCTTTTTATCTATCTAGTTGTGTGCACCTAAAATGTCTTACATTGTATTATTTTAACACAGTAAAATTACACATGCTCACCTACGCACATACACTCATCGTACCTTTATGAGCATCTCCGAGATATCGAGCCGGCACAACATCTTCAGATTGATGAAGTCATCATATGCGCCTTGCAGTCGATGAGAGCGTCTCATTTCAATGAACGAACATCGCCGAAAAGTCTGAAATAAATCCAGAAAATGGGAGCACAAGTGTCAAGTCTAGTTTAGGACTTGAACCATGGTGGATTGGTTTCACCATAAAAACAAGTAACCATCTGAGCCAGACTCGGTTCGCAAATGTCTTAGCATTGTTGTTTTGCTAGGCGTGGTTGATCGCGTCGTTTTTTCTTCTTCTTATTCTTCTCTTTGTCTTTCTGTCCGTGCACCTAAAATGTTTTGACTAAATCTTAACATTGCATTGTTGCTGAGTTTGAGTCTAATTTATACTACTCCGTCCCATAATGTAAGACGTTTAACGTCTTATATTATGAGACGGAGAGAGTATTATTTAATCTTTTTTGTGCTTGCCATGAATGAGCCCTATGCCCTTACAAGATCTAGAATTCATATGTATTTTTACCACGTTTATGAAAACCATAAAATACAACGAAAAAAAGTAACCGTAATACGGTTCATTTTGTGATTTTAGTGGAAGGCGCGCGCACCCTCCCACGCATGTGTTTGTGGAGCCGAGCGAGGTGCCCGCGTGGGGTCCTGCTTCGCCATGTACTACTCCTGCTACTCAGCACAGCGCCCCTAGCTCGACCGTCTCACCGTCCCCTCCTTCCTCCGGCCAGATGCTCCTCTCGGAGCTCCCGAATCCGCCCCGCCCATGGCGCCCTCGCGTTCGAGAACCCCATTCCGCTCGCCCTCGCCACCTCCCACTCCCCGCCCCCCACGCTACGCTCTTACCGAGAAGGCGCCACCTCCTCCTGTCCCCCTCCGCGACTCCGTCCGACGACCCCGCGCTCCCTCCGGCGAGGCGCTCGTCGCGCCCGAAGAAGGCGTCGGGTGAGGGCGAGGGGTGGAAGAAGAAGGCGGTGCCGCCCAGCACGCTCGAGCTCTCCAGCCCCGTTCCCGAGGAGCCGCTGTCGCCGCCCCGGTGGATGGCCAGGCGGCAGGCGCGCGCCGCGTGGCGGAAGGCGACGTCATTTGTGCCCAGGAGGGCCAGGAGCGTCATCCTGCTCAACCTGCTCGTCCTCATATTTGGTACGGACGTATTCGGCTTCCGCTACCTGTATTTCTGATATCTACTGCCTGCTGCACACCACTTGTTCGATGGTGTTTCAGAGAGAAATGGCGAGGGGAGGGATGTGTTATATCTGGGGTGATGTCTTGTCGGATTGGAATGGTGTGGGTTATTTCAATACCACAATAGAATTGTGTACCTGCATGCTAGTTAGTCAGTTAGTGTACATGTAAATATACTTTTTAGAATACCATACCGTACTATGGCTTCATTCATAGATTAATAGCTTAATCTATGAAATGGAGATATCAGGTATTAATTGTGCGATTACAATTCTTCTCACATAATATTGTCGCGAACTTGTTCATTATATGCTATATATTTTGTGATTGTGCATACCTTTTCATGGATGCTGTATCTATCCTTTTTGCCTGGTATAGCATGCCAATTCTCCTCTTTTTCTTTATATAAGGCTGTGCCATCAAATATGGAGTGTTACTGTTATACTATTTCTTTAGTGCTTGCTTACTAAGAATAGAAGTCCATGCTCCATTTCCCGATTATTGCACATAAAATGAGTGTCAATACACTATAGTAGTGTGATTTAGAAAATGTGAATACAATTTCAGAAAACAATACAAGTAAATTCGCACCTCGCTACCCAATTTTAAATGTGATGAGTACTGCTGTTCACTCCTTGTCTGAGATTTTCTCCTGAATAGGCAGCTGAATTTGAATTTCTTTTTCTACCAGCAAGCAACATTTCTATTGTCAAAGAAGCGCAGACTATGTTGGATCCTGACCTTTTCAATATCATACGCTTCACTATTGCGGCCATTCCTTTTGTGCCATTCTTGTTGAAGTCACTCAGAGACATGCAAGTTGTTATTAGGGGCATAGAGCTGGGGGTTTGGGTAACCTTGGCCTACCTCACTCAGTCTATTGGGTTAGTTACAGCTGATGCTGGCCGTGCATCTTTCATATCCGCCCTCACAGTAAGATCCTTTCTCAAGCTTAGTCCATAAAGTATTCCCAATAAGATATGTTGTATGTTCTTTACTCAAACATATTCAGGTGATCATTGTTCCTTTCTTGGATGGTATTCTTGGAGCAGAAATACCTGCATATACATGGCTTGGAGCATTTTTATCAGTTCTCGGGGTTGGTATTCTGGAGTTAAGTGGTTCTCCACCATGTGTAAGTCGATTATCTACATGTAAAGGTCCACAAGTTTGTCTGAACGTTTTTATTTGTCTTAGGGCTTATAGTATTGTTCTGTGTCAAGATTAGTGTGCTTTATAATTTGAGCTCTGTATTAGTGTGCTTTAGAATTTGACCTCTTTATTCTTGATTCAACAAGTTGATAATAACTGCACAACTTGCACATATCATGTTGATTGATCTTGTCTCTGCGTACTGTCTTTAGGTTGGTGATCTTCTGACCCTCCTTAGTGCCTTCTGTTTTGGAATTCACATGCTCAGAACCGAGCATATTTCCAGGAAAATGAAGAAAGAAAATTTCCTACCGCTTGTTGGATGTCAGGTTAGTTATCGATTAAATCTCAATGCTTCTCTTGCATTTATCACTGAAAAAATTCCTCTTTTTTTCTCGATGAAGTGTCTAAAAATTGGTTTAAAATCAGGTGGTTGTCGTAGCTGTTGTGTCGGCAGTCTCGTTCATTGTTAAATGCTTCCTCCAGAATGTGGTACCCTGGAATTTAAAATCACGGACACCAACAGAGTTATTCAGTATGATGTCATCGTTTCCTTGGCTAGCAATACTATACACAGGCATAATCGCAACAACCTTTTGTTTATGGGCAGAGGTTAGTAACTAATCTTGCCATGCCAATTATTTTCAGTCTGATGTCAAAGTTTATTTCTAGAAATACCTTTTTTTCTGACATTTTCCTGTCATCAGATTGTTGCTATGCGTGATGTATCAGCTACAGAAACTGCAATAATTTATGGTCTGGAACCAGTATGGGGTGCTACTTTTGCATGGGTAATTCATGGCGAGAGATGGGGCATTACTGGACTTATTGGAGCTATCTTCATCATAGGTACTTATTCACCAGCCACCACATTCTCAGCTACATTCTGCATTACGAATTTTCAATGATGGAAGTTAATGACTAGTTGCAGTACAAACCATCAATGTCCTTCACTGTTTGGAAATGTAGGGCGTAGTTCGGCCATCCAAGTTTAAATTTGACCAACAAATAATCTGAGAATATGTGGGTCATGTTAAAGCACAATAGGGTTATGTTTTTCCAAAAGTACTTTCTTGTGATTGTGATTTGTAATATTGTACTTCAAACTTGGACAATAAAGTTAACACCTTAGATTTCCTACAGGAGGGAGTAGTTCCCACAGTGAGAATATTGACTCTTGTTTTTCTTTTCAGCCGGTAGCTTGATGGTTCAGGTATTGGGATCATTTCTTGATATTGATGTATCAGAGGACAGTTACCAGATGAACAGCTGATACATAAATTGCAAAAATACGAGGATTTCGCATGATATGATCAGTTGATCACTACTGCGACGTAATACGCCAAGTAGTTAGCATGACACTGCAACAAGATCTAACTACAATTATGGCCAGTTGCACAAGGAATGGAAAGCTCACTAGGCTGACAAAAATAGGGGTGGCTCACTGGTGGCCTGAGCAGCTGATGAAAACAAACTGTGGTGCCTCGTGGCGTGAAGAACACATCTACAGAAAATGGTGATGTGTATCACTCGACTAAACGCTTAGGGTAGCCTGATGTAGTATCAGTAACAGTCTAAATCCTTCTTTCTCTCAATGTAAATCATTCCACATGATGTAGTATGTAATTCTAGATTACTTCATGCTGATTCCGCATCAACCTTTGTTTTAGTACGCTATTGTTCATTGTCAACTAGATATATGTCCATAAAACTAGATTGTACCAACTGACACATAGCTTACAAATTCTCCATGAGATCAGAACTGCACCTAGTGTGCTCACGGGAGTAGATATATATCTCAAAACAGAGCAGAAGTACCATTGCAGGCTCACAGGAGCAAGAAGTAGAGCAACATTTTTAGCTTTCATGAACAAGTGGAGCAAAATTGCTCAGAGGTACATCTGTGGCTACCCTTGTACCCCTTTCAACTCCTATTAATGCAATGACATGCAAGCTTTCGTGTATTCACCAAAAAGGTAATGCAAAATATTAATAATTCAGATGACAAATCTATACTATCTATATAGTGTACGAGTTTTGAATTAAAGCAACAGCACGATCCTATCCGTTGGTCTCATAAATCTAAGGGTTGAGACTCAAAGGATCCGCAGTAAACAGTAGCCCGCAACTGCATCCGCTGGTTTCTGGAACAATCGCGTCACACCTCCTCTATTCTTGCCATGTTGCATGTGCCATTGCATCAGGCAAAGAGCCAAGACAGAGGCTGAGACAAGTGAACGTTTTTAACGGGCTATATACTGTATATCAGCTAATGGCCGCAGCTAATTGCGTCATTAGTTCGTATAAAAAAATACATTCCCTGGAATCAACTACACCGAATATAGAGAAGACCAAAGCCCTGTAGCCCATACATGTAGGTTTGGCTAACTATTGTTTTGTCCTTGCATAATTGATCGATCCGATTGATTGATTGATCTACGTGTGTGCTCGGCTGGACTACTTGGGGCGTTTTTTATTGCAGCCCAGTGAAATATAAAAGACAGCCACAATACCAAATTCATTAGCAGAAAACTGCCACTTCATAATTCATGGCAAAACTCACCGCACGAAAGAATTGACAATGGCAAAAACACTGATGATAAACGCTAATTGCTTTAATTCTCTTCCAATTGTCTTCAAGACATGTTTTTGAAATAGAATGAAAACAATTTTCTTTACATTACATGATTGTAAAGAAAAATAACTGTAAAGTTGACATTGTCAACTTGTTCAACGCTCCTGGTTGTAGAGCTCAATTTAAGTTAACAGATATGTAACATCCTTTTGTAGTTCTAGATATATATTATGATGATTTGTCATCAATGCTATCATGAGACATAACATATCGTGATGTTTCGTAACTTTTGTGAACATTGACTTTTCGCCTCCCTCATATCTAAATCCTGGATCCGCCCTTGGCCGAGTACGAGAGATGTATTGTCTAGGAAGAGAAACAGAAGCAAACAATTTGTGGGTTTCACCACGTACATCTTTATTATTTTTCCCTACGGAAATTTCTGGGTGTCAGTAGGCCACACACGTTCTATCATGCTAATTGTCAATTTTTTATTACTTCCCTGCATGTATACACCAACAATATTTATTTTTGCTGTGAATTCATTGCAAATCACTATATGCTTTTTTTTTCTTTTACTAGGATCATAGGAACTACACTGTTAAGACGTGCATTGCACGTGTATACATACTAGTACTTCTAGTTTCTAAATGCATAAGTACATAATACCATCAATATATACAACTTTCAAATATAACAAGATGCGTGCTAAACATAATTCCAATAGTCAAACTAAGAACAAGGAACCACGCCAAAACAAAACCGAACCGAACAACAGACCACAATGGAACTGGCAGTACACATGATGGTCTAAACTTTTAGCAATCATGTCCGCTTACCTGAGCTGAATTCTGCATTCGAGGAGTCTAAGTAAGCTAATGGGACTAGAGCTCTAGACTAACGGGATAAGAAACTGAAACTCAAACTCCATTCAGTGTAGCATTCCTGAAAGCAGTCACGGTTCAGACTTCAGACATGGACTGCTTTGAGGTGTGTATATGTTTCAACTGACAAGCTGCAAAATAAGGATTGTTTGACCAGACCATTTTGATGAAGCAGGGACCGCCCCGGCCGCAGCCCTTATTCCATATAGCTTTTGGATCAAAGTCAGGCATTTCATATTGCCTCCACGTATACCAGTAAAAAGTACAACTAAATGATGGCATTCATGCATAGTCAATGAAAGTATAAAAGAAAGCCCGAAACTGTCAGAAAAGTTCAGACTTAAATGATCGACAAGTACAGAGTTTGCACTAAAAAGACAACTACTACAATCTGCAAATCGTTATCATTTGGACTATAAAATACTCCCTCCGTCCCAAAATAAGTGTCTCAACTTTGTACTAACTTTAGTGCAAAGTTGTACTAAGGTCAAGACACTTATTTTGGGACGGAGGGAGTAGGTTATAGAGAAAAATTAATGAAGATCAGTCAGATAAACCTAGTCAGATCACTCCCTCTCCAACACTGGCAATGCTCACTAGATCTTGATAAATCTGGGTACTTGTTTGAGTTAAAAATAACAAAAGGGAATTCAGAAAGGAGATCAAAACATACTCCCTCCGTCCGAAAATACTTGTCATCAAAATGAACAAAAGGGGATGTATCGAGGGAGTATAACATTGGATTCAGTTTAACCTCTTGTACCTCCTGTACATGTGTGAATCAAGGAGTAGCAAGCATAGGAACAGAAAAAATTCAGAGATGACAGAAAATCAAGGAACAAATTACACAGAACTATATGGAGCTAAAGTACAACTAATTAGATCAAGGCACTGTTAAGAAACATAACATAGTTCAGTAAAGTCATGAACATAAATACTGCAGAATTTAGAGACCACTTAGATACTGTAAATTCAGTTAGCAACAAGACAGACAGATTGCACTTAGATTTCAAGGAAAAATATGACTAGTCCACATTGTAAATCATGAACATAATTGCTTACTCCACACTGTAAATAGACAGAACAATTTTTTTTTGCCACAACTTGAATCTGCTCTGCAACTTATGAACTTGTAGTTGTTCTGCATATTATCAAGATCAGTGAAACAGTTTTCATTTACAAACATAGTTACTCCTACTACTTATCTGCGGTTGCCCATATCATAACTGCATCATGCTTGCTTATCTGATCCTAATGCAAAAAGATAAGAGCAATTTTAACATGGTCCATCACAGGAAACAGAGCAGAAGAAGTACTAGTGCAGGAACAAATGCAAGGTTCAGAACATCGATAACAGAGCAGGAACAACAACAACAGTTTTACTTCCTCCGTTCGGAATTACTTGTCGCAGAAATGGATGTATCTAGACATATTTTAGTTCTAGATACATCCATTTTCGAGACAAGTAATTCCGAACGGAGGGAGTAGTAGCTTGCATGAACAAGTGGAGCAAATTGCTCAGAGGTACATCCGCGGCGATCGTACATGGACGAACTAATACATCAGCCAGTGAGTATCCTCGTATACACTTTGAAAAGAACTTCAACATCGGATTTAATAGACACTTGCAGGCGAGAAGAAGTTGCTGTGCCCTCCAGTGTGAAGATTGGCCGCGGCATTGCACCTCTTCTCCTTCTCGAGCGCCTCTTCGGCCTTCCACGCTTCTTCAAATGGATCGAAGGAGCACGGCTGCGGTTTGGACAAGTGGTCCTGTCCCTGAAGCGATGGAGCGTCAAGATCCGACGCGGCATTGTACCTCTTCTCCTTGTCAGCGTCATGGAAGGCATCCAGGTACAGAGGTTCCTGTTGGCCCATCTCCACGCCAGTGTTGGCTCCACTGACCGGCTCAACTTCAATTGGGTTGTCTTCCATCATTCTCATTAGTTCTTCAAGATCAAAACCATCTTCCTCCCAATCCGGCAAATTGGAGATAGGCTCCAATGACTCAGAGACATTCTCTTCAGATGTGCTCCTTGCGATGCTTGAGCCAGCCTCAGGAATTGATTGGGTGGACTCCAGCACATCTGATTGGGAGGAAATCTCAGGAGCTTGAGCAACGTCGGAGCGGCTGGATGTTGTAGTGGACCCGCATGATGCTTGTGCATCCTGAACAGGGAAGTTGGCTGCCTCATCATACATCAAGAAGGACGGTGTGGCAGATGCCGGGACCGGGACGGGGACGGCACCGCGCATCCTCTTCTTGGGGCGCGGCGGATGAGGATCGGCGGCGGCAGCGGGCGCTGGCCTCTTCTGCGCGTGCGTGCTCGGGGTCACGGCCTCTGGTTGCTGTTGCTGAAGCTTGTACGCTTCCGATTCCTGGCGGGCCGCGTCAGGAGCATGCTGAGCCAAGTGCATCTTGCAGAACACCTTCACCCCGTCGACGACGGTGGCCTCTGGCAGCAGGCACCGGTATTCCTCCATGACCCAGCCTGTCGACTTGCCCTTCTTCTTGAAGGACAGGTTCTTGACCTCGCCGACCTTGCATCCCGCGTGGCAAATCTCGGTGGTCTTCTGGATGCTCCAGGTGCCGCCGCCGGCACCGCGCACGCTCTGGAGCTTGCTTCCGTTCTTGCTCTTGCACGTGGTGAAGAAGAACCGGTCACCGCTGCTCACGGCCTGCGGCACGGGCGCGAATTGGCGGGCCAGATCCTTGGGCTCGCAGCCGGAGATGTTGACGTGGTGGATGAGCTTGTCGGCGCCGTGCAGCGTCTCGCCGGAGAGGAGGCGTGGCAGGTAGTAGGTGACGGCCTCCACTTCCGTAGGGTTCAGCCGGAAGTGGTGGAAGACGTCGTCGACGTCGAGCCCCTCCATCCCGGCCGGCGGCTGCCCGTCTGTTGCTAGGGTTCTACTCTAGCTTGGAAAGGGTCCTCTCGATCGAGGGCGGGCGGGCGACTGGGATTTGGGAGAGGTTTGTCTGCGGGATCGGAAGGTGTTGTGGGGCGCGAAGATGTTCTGTACTTATATTTAAAGACGCTGGACTAGGCGGTGGAGGACGCGTCAGATTTCCTTTTTCTGAATCCGAATATGTCCCCAGTTCAGTTTGCCGTCAGTTTTCTGAAACTTGCCGCTCCCGTTTGCTATCATTTCCTAAAACTTTCCGTCAATCCGATGATGATGCGGTCCTGAAGACGTAGAGGACAGATGCCGTGCTGATTGTGATTCTTGATTTAGAGTAATATACAAGCCTATTTCTTTTCTGGGTCCATACCCCTGGACCTTATCCAGATCCATTTCTTTTCATCCATGGCAACAGTTGCGTGATAGTATTATTTAGGAAAACATTTGGACACGGCGCGTCGGCCGAAACTTCGGCCGGTCTTGCACCGGTCTTGCGAACGCTTTGCGATCCATTTGCTAGGATTCGACCCCTTATCCTCTCGCGGTTTCTTCTACCCTCGCCATGGAAGCCCTTCCTCCCGAGGTCGATCCGTCCTCTCCTCTCTCCCTTCACTCCTCCTATAGCCATGGGAGCCCCGCTACTGCTGCCCCGCCGCACATCTCCTCCCCTGAATCACGTGTTGCAACGCCGCTGCTTTTTGGGACGATGGTGGTCGGCGACGTCTCTCGGCTTCGGCTGCTACATGGTTACAACCGTTGGCGCCTGCTGCTACAACCGGTGACTCTGGTTGTTACAAGCCGCCGACAGACTGGACTCTGGGCCACGAGATCCTACCCCCCCCCCCACCTCTGACAATGGCGTTTTGCTATGGCTGTGGTCGACAAAGCTACAACGGGCATCCATACAAGCTGGAACCGATCATCGACAGAGCTGCAACTAGCATTTAGGAAAGCTGCAATGGCGACGGCTTGGTGCTACGACGGAGAGCTGGAACCGACGATGTCGTTGTTGCAACAGTATGTACATTTTGCTAGAACTGGCTGGTGACATAGCTGAAACCTTGCCCGCGAGATACTACAACTGGCATGGCGTTTTGCTACAGTTGTCGTGGAGAAAGTTGCAACGGGCATTGGTATAAGCTTGAACCGGTCACAGACAGAGCTTCAAACGGCTTCTACAAAATCTGTAACGGCGATGACTGGGGCGAGCCCAGTGCTACAACCGGCAATGGTGTTTGCTACTATTGGCGACGGGAAAGTTTCAACCGAAAATACGCAGAAGCTAGTCGCCGAGGCATCGAGCACAAAAAAACTGCAATCGCTGCTTAGAAAAAGATTCAAACGGGGACCGCAAAAACTCCAACTGGCTAATGACAATCGCAACGAGGCTAGCAGGGAACTCGGTGACCATGGTGACCATGGCGGGTGACGACACATCACAAAGCTGCGCGCCGATGTTTTGCTGTGCTGGAACGGTGCCTTTTTGCACCTAGGTTCCATGCTACAAGCTACCATGGAGCGAGAGCAGGTGGTGTGGGTGGAGATGCGGCAGTGATGGCGGCCGACGATGACAACACTGGGTGGCCGGCGAGGACGAGGCCGAGGACGAGCAAGGTGGCGCGGGGGTCGCGACGTCGTGCGTGGTCGACGGCCGCTAGCGCGGGGGGAGGAGGAAGGAAGAAGATGACGCGAGGGGATCCAAATCGAACGGTGGGCCACAGTTGAATCGAGTGGCTGGGGGCCGACCGACCGAAATTTTGGCTGGCGCACTAATAGTGCCTTACTATTTACCTTGAGAAACATTGTTAACAGTGGCAAGCAGATTCAACCCAGGCTATCCAACTGTGTGCAATTAACGTCGGCCATGGCACCACCTGCGTGATGCCTATTCACCAATGCAGGATTCACCCCATGTCTTCCAGTCAGAATGGAGTCAAGTGGTTTGGAACTGGTACTTGGTAGTTGATGACCCACAAGTGTAGAGGATCTATCGTAGTCCTTTTGATAAGTAAGAGTGTCGAACCCAACAAGGAGCAGAAGGAAATGACAAGCGGTTTTCAGTAAGGTATTCTCTGCAAGCACTGAAATTATCAGTAACAGATAGTTTTGTGATAAGGTAATTCGTAATGGGTAACAAGCAATGAAATTAAATAAGGTGCGGCAAGATGGCAAAATCCTTTTTCTAGCAAAGGACAAGCCTGGACAAATTCTTATATAGAGAAAAGCGCTCCCGAGGACACATGGGAATTACCGTCAAGCTAGTTTTCATCACGCTCATATGATTCGCGTTCGTTACTTTGATAATTTGATATGTGGGTTGACCGGTGCTTGGGTACTGCCCTTTCTTGGACAAGCATCCCACTTATGATTAACCCCTATTGCAAGCATCCGCAACTACAAAAGAAGTATTAAGATAAACCTAACCATAGCATGAAACATATGGATCCAAATCAGCCCCTTACGAAGCAACGGATAAACTAGGGTTTAAGCTTCTGTCACTCTAGCAACCCATCATCTACTTATTACTTCCCAATGCCTTCCTCTAGGCCCAAACAATGGTGAAGTGTCATGTAGTCGACGTTCACATAACACCACTAGAGGAGAGACAACATACATCTCATCAAAATATGGAACGAATACCAAATTCACATGACTACTTATAGCAAGACTTCTCCCATGTCCTTAGGAACAAATGTAACTACTCACAAATCATATTGATCTTCATAATCAGAGGGGTATTAATAAATTTAATATGCATAAAGTATCTGAACATATGATCTTCCACTGAATAAACCAACTAGCATCAACTACAAGGAGTAATCAACACTACTAGTGACCCACATGTACCAATATGAGGTTTTGGGACAAAGATTGGATACAAGAGATGAACTAGGGTTTGAGAGGAGATGGTGCTGGTGAAGATGTTGATGGAGATTGACCCCCTCCCGATGAGAGGATCGATGGTGATAACAATGATGACGATTTCCCCCTCCCGGAGGGATGTTTCCCCAGCAGAACAGCTCCGCCGGAGCCCTAGATTGGTTCTGCCAAGGTTCCGCCTCGTGGCGGCGGTGTTTCTCCCCGAAAGCTTGCTTATGATTTTTTTCAGGGTAAAAGACTTCATATAGCAGAAGATGGTTACCGGAGGCCTGACAGGGGGCCCACGAGGCAGGGGGCGCGCCCAGGGGGTAGGGCGCGCCCCCACCCTTGTGGCCAGGGTGTGGGCCCCCTCTGGTACTTTCTTCGCCCAATATTTTTTATTAATTCCAAAAATGACTTTCATGGGGTTTCAGGACTTTTGGAGTTGTGCAGAATAGGTCTCTAATATTTGCTCCTTTTCCAGCCCAGAATTCCAGCTGCCGCATTCTCCCTCTTCATGTAAACCTTGTAAAATAAGAGAGAATAGACATAAGTATTGTGACATAACGTGTAATAACAGCCCATAATACAATAAATATCGATATAAAAGCATGATGCAAAATGGATGTATCAACTCCCCCAAGCTTAGACCTCGCTTGTCCTCAAGCGGAAGCCGAAATCAAAAAATATGTCCACATGTTTAGAGATAGAGGTGTCGATAAAATAAAATACGGACATGAGGGCATCATGATCATTCTTATAACAACAACATATATATGTTTTGTCATATGATTTCTTATGCTTAAGTAACAATCTATTCACAATGTCAAGTATGAACAAAAAACTTCATTGAAAACTAACAAACTATAATCTCAGTCATTGAAGCAATTGCAATTTATCATAACATCGGAAAGAGTCAATATAAGAGCTTTGCAGCATGTCCACATACTCAACTATCATTTAGTCTTTCACAATTGCTAACACTCACGCAATACTTATGGTTATGGAGTTTTAATCAGACACGGATAAAGATATGGGCTTATAGTGTTTCCTCCCAACTTTTTACCTCAAGGGTAATGTCAACAATAATAGTTCATGCTAACTTACATCCAATTGGATATATATATCAGGATCTTCCCAACACAAGGTGCTTGCCAAAGGATAAAATATAAAAGGGAAAGGTGAAGATCACCATGACTCTAGTAAAAGGTATAAGACAAAAGTAAAAGATAGGCCCTTCACAGAGGGAAGCAGAGGTTGTCATGTGCTTTTATGGTTGGATGCACAAAATCTTAATGCAAAAGAACGTCACTTTATATTGCCACTTGTGATATGGACCTTTATTATGCAGTCTGTCGCTTTTATTGCTTCCATATCACAAGATCGTATAAAGCTTATTTTCTCCACACTAATAAGTCATACATATTTAGAGAGCAATTTTTATTGCATGCAACATGACAACTTACTTGAAGGATCTTACTCAATCCATAGGTAGGTATGGTGGACTCTCATGGCAAAACTGGGTTTAAGGATATTTGGAAGCACAAGTAGTATCTCTACTTGGTGCAAAGAATTTTGCTAGCATGAGGGGGAAAGGCAAGCTCAACATGTTGGATGATCCATGACAATATACTTTATTTCGAATATAAGAAAACATAACCCATTATGTTATATTCCTTGTCCAACGTCAACTCTTTAGCATGTCATATTTTAATGAGTGATCACAATCATAAAAGATGTCCAAGACAGTATATTTACATGTGAAAACCTCTCTTTCTTTATTACTTCATATTAATTGCAACGATGACCAAAACTATGTTTGCCAACTCTGAACAACTTTTATTCATCATACTCTTAATATGTGAAGTCATTACTTTCCATAAGATCAATATGATCTCTTTTATTTCATTTTACTCTTTCTATTTCTTTTATTCCCTCAAGATCAAAGTAAGATAATCAAGCCCTTGACTCAACACTAATCTTTATTATATATATCTCACGGACTCGATTACATAGAGGGATCACAAAGCAAAACTCAAAACTAGATCATACTAAAAACTTTATTCTAATGGATCAAGATATTACCAAAATGATCGAAATAAGTAAAACGGTAA